TAAGTTGTAAGCAGCTACTTGACTACTAATTATCATTTACATTATAGTAGTTTAGTAGGAGTTTCTTCATCTTTAGTTGCAGTAGCAAATTACAAAGTAAAATGTGCTCATGTTGGGACTTAACTTACATTAACCTAGCATCTTCTAAAAAAATAAAAGATGCCTCATTCTAATTTAAAAACCTTTTTCATAAATTTATTGACCTAAAAAATTCTAAAATTTAAGAAATAGGAATAACCCACAAATATATTAATACTACCCTCACTAAAACAAATAATTAAAAAAAAAACTTTGACATTTGCAAACTTCGAAAGTAAGCACATTCTCTTTAATCCAATGAAATAGAAAACTCTGCTTCAAGTGTGCAAAGATGTTTATCATAAAGGACATGAAGTAATATAAGAGATTAGCTATACATAGTAAACACTAATCTACAATCTAAAATCTAATCCAAACAACAGGTAGAGATAACTACTTTAGTAATACTTTTCATATCTTTCCCATGTACATAACTAATGATATTACTGAAAGCCTTGCTAAAATATAAAACAAGCTAACACCTGAAGCTATTTGAGATTGCATAAAGGGAAAAAAAAAGAAAAGAAAAAAAAATTAACTCCTAAGAGAATGACTCAAGTAGGTTAATTAGAATTTTATCATTTGCATGTTAGTCAATAAAGCTAATTTAATTAACCTGATATCTTGTGCAGCTAGAAGGATGGTTAATGCAACCATTTGTCTGGCAGTTTTCCACTTCTCTATGTTATTTATTGCAACAGCCTGATAATATGTATTAAACTTAAAATTAGTTACAACCAAAACCTAATCATTTCTTCAAGAGAAAAATAAAAAGCATCTAAAAAATCTTTTATTTAAAAGTAAAATAGGTTGTTGATTAACATCTATGAGAGAAAACCATAGCTCTAAAAGCTTACTATTTTGAGAAGCAACCTATTCTCTAATGGCAGACATAGTTATCTATAAATAAATTGCTAAATATTTTTAGGGTATACATAACTAATTCATAGATGTATAGAAAAATATGGACTATAGTATATATTACCTCTTTTCTAATAATAGTAATTAATGGTATAATAAGTAGTCATAACACTTGCTTAAAGATAGCAATATTTAAAGGTCTTGAACATAATAAGACTAATATAGCAGCAATCATAAGCTACAATTAACAGGTATGAAATCAGATGAAATGCTCAATGGTTGAGACAAGTTAATACAAAATTTTAGCAATTAAACTGTATAAAAGAAACCCTTAAAAGTTTAAAAAATAAAAAGGAAAAAAGAACAACCTTGTCAGTGATTAGATCTAAAAATGCACCAAAGAAATGATTTAATGTTATATAATGATTAGTTCGATACATGAAAAAATAAAATAAATTTCAATACAAATTAATTAAATCATACAAAAAAAATGTGAATCAGTTCTCAATTATCTAGTCAATTTAAAAGATTAGCTTTCACATGTAACCTTTTGAAGTTCCCAATTATTTGTTAAAAAGTAAATTTTTCTAGATATATTCATCAAATATATAGGCCAACCCACCATTATAAAGATAAATGATTCTTTTAATGTATAGAAAAAAAAACTTACACCTTAAAAAAAATCTTCAATCCAAAAAACCCATAAATTTATCTTAACTAGGATTTTTAGGTTTAAATATCTTATAGGATGGTAGAAGTATCACTGTAAATTTTCTAAATGAAAAAAAGAATTTTTTTAGGGGGATTTTATCTAAATCATAATGAGAAAATAAATAACAAATAAAAGGTCATTTAGTATGAACAATGTTTTAAACCTTAACATGACTACTAAAATAGATTAATATGCCCATTAGTAGCAAAAAATTTATACAGAACAAACAGAAAGTATTTTACTTATCTTAAAAGCATGGCATAAAAGATTATGTTCCTTTACTTTTGCTACTAATGATAACCGACCCTTACATTTACCATCCGAAGCTGGTAATGCATCAAAAACAATTATATCTAAAAGATTGAAATCAAAAGGATCTCTCACTAAAATCAAGAATCTAAGTTTCAATATAGCTCACACTTGTAAATAATTATTCGACATGAGAACATAAAAAATTGGGTCAATCAAATAAACTAAAATGCGAAAGCAACCAAAATAATAGCAAAAGACTAATTTTATGGTCCAAAGAGAGAGTTATTACCTAAATGGCAAGATTAAGGTACAAAAAACCTGAACATTTTTTAGCAAGGTAAGATACAATGATACCAATATTCTTAAGCATAAGAATCAATATACGACAACCATTATTTTATCTTCAAAACCCTTTTCCCAAACCCTATTACGTATTTTAATTAAACTTATATCACATATTAAGCAACAGTAAGAGATTCTTATATACATTCTATATCGCTAAGCATAGCTGACCAAGTGGTATCTCTTATCAAAGCATAAAAATGTATAGTGACATGCCGATTTTTCTTCTATCCAAGAATATTTAGACAGAGAAGAGAGGCTATACAATTAAAACCAAAACCTATATATGTTTTTATTGAAGAAAATAAACTGACTAAATCCAACAACTAAAAGCATTGATAAAAAAAACCATCCTTAGTTGAATACAAATGTAACATTTAAAATATTAGAGGAAAAAACATTCTATCTTTTTCATTCATAAAAGGAAATAAAGAAAACTTTTTTAAGTGATTAAACTCAAACATCATGACTATATACACTGACACCAACTTAAACTCGGAGACTTTTTTATCATTCACACAGACCCAATCATTCCATATACCGCATTATTATAAGAATTTTAGGGTAAAAAGTCAACAGTTAAAATTCACACTAAATACATCAGCTAATTCATATGAAACACACACAACATATAAAATTATAAGCCAAAACCAAATTCAATCAAACATAACGGTGTTATTATATACCACAAGATCATTCAAATTAATTCCACCATTTTTTTTCAACCTTTAGCCTTAAACTGTGCAAGCCACCTTGAAAAATCATCTTCATCAACCTTCTCTTATGTGTCGGTTGACACAGCATGAGTAGTTAGTGGTGACAACTAAAAAGAGCCTGTAACTTATAATCATTAACCACTTACTACATTAAGCTGTTGACCTTACCTTTTAATATAGATAATGAAGTAGAGCTAGTTATAGCACTCTTTATAAACTTCACATGGACCTCTATATTCACAAATTGTTTCTCGAATTGATTCATTGTCTTAGACATTTTTCGTAAATTGCTTGTAACACAAAAAAAATCCTTAAATTTGACCATATTCATATCAAAACTAATTTATAAAGAAAAAAACCAAAGAAGAAAAATTACAAAAATAATTGAAATAATTTTTCTTTAGGCTAATATCTCCATAATATTTTTAGTTTCAATTAATTTAACTAAAAAGGTAATTTTTTGAAAAAATAAACAAAATTTTCAGATTCAATAAACTTAAACATCTCTAACGTTTCCAAACCCTTTCAAATAGTACTGTAATTGGAGACAAAAAAGAAAATAGTATAAAAAATGTTTTTTTTAAAACCTAAGCTAAAATCTAATGTATTGGTATCCTTAAAATTGAAAAACTAATAAAAAAAATGAATACAATGAAGAATTAAACAAACCTGCAATGAATGATAAATTTGATAATCTTAGCAACCTAAATTTTACATAGTCTATACAAATCTAAAGTTTATAAAGGGAAATAAAAAAAATACATAAAAAGTAACAGTGTTAGTGGATGGGTTAGGTACCCTTCCATTCATGCCACCAACTAGTAAGGCAATAGAGATATCAATTTGGGTAGAGAGTGAAATAACAAAGCAGCAAAACTTAAAAAAAGAACAAATTAAATAAAATAAAGAGAATATATATAAAAAAGGAACACATGCAAGAAAAACTTTAAACCAACATCATCCAACTAATCTAACAATCATTAAAAGAGTAAATTTTCTTAAACCCAGAAGCAGTTTTACTTAATAAAATCGTTATTCCAAATGACATTTCTGAACAAGGAAGAGAAAACAGGAAAATGGAACTTGCAAATATAATAATCGTCACCAAACAAAGCCCTGAACCCTTCCACGGGTTTCACCTTAGGGTGCCTAGGCCGATACACCACACTCATGTTGACCAAAGCCTTGACTCTATCAAATTAAAACTGACAAAAATACCAAGCAATCATCACACCCCAATCACTTCCTACAAAAATCAATGTCAAATGCATCAAAGAGGCCCACGAGATCGCCTATAATGTGGAATATAATATATGAATCCATTGAAGGAGGAGAATGGTGTCATCGAACCCATGAATATCAAGAACTATGCAACGATGCCTATGGGATGATAGGGAAAGAAACTAGTAACATTGTAGTACCAAAGCTTAACAATATTTTGAAGATGAAGTTTTTGGAGAAACTTTTTCAAAATCAAATTACGCTTGAATTTTTGTTGTTTACATTACTAAGTTGTCCCTTCAATACAAAATGGGGATAACTTTTAAATTAAGTTATAGATTAACATAGATACTAAAATTTTCTTTAGCTAACATTGGTTTGTCAAATGTAATTACAAATATAATTCTTTATATTTTACTTTCTTTTTGTATTACATTGTGATAACGTTCATATTAAAGAATCTTTAAATTAATATTATTAAATTTTTTATCAAAAAAATAACCTTAAATGAGAATGATTTCTAATTATAATTATATATAATAGTATTTTATCTATATACGTACATATTTATAAATTTATAATATATAAATATAGATAATAAACACTATTATATATAATTATAAATTTATAATATTAAAAATTATCTTATTTATTGTTTGTGGAGTTTTAAAGCTTTATAAATAGATTAATAATAGAATGATACATATTTTATATTAAAAAATTAAAAAAAACTAATTAAAGAAAGAGTGGCCTAATAATTGTTTAAGGTTATTTGTGGAGTTAAAAATTTTGGTTGTTACTAAATAAAAAACGAATTTTTTTATTCATTTTAATAGTATATAAGCCCATAGTCCCAAACCAATCCCGAATTTGGCATTTCCATCTTCAATCTTCCACAAAGTCGGCTGCTTCTTTCATTCTTGGTTCCTCGTATCCAGCTGTTTCTTCGATTTAAGGTGTCTAATATCTTTTTTTTTCTGTAATTTCTACGGTTCAATTCCGCGAGCAATTTTCAATTATGTTTTGAGGGTTTTTTTTTTTTTTTTTTGAGAAATAGAAAAGAGAATTGGGTATTTTTTTAATTCTTTTCTGTGCTATTAATAGATTTTTCTTGGGTGGTTATGGCCGATAGAATTGTTAATTATAATTCATATGTGGGCATTTGCTTTTGATTAGAAAAGGAATAATTTTGACGGAATTTGACTCTTTTTAATATTAAAATTTCGATATAATCTGATAATTCAAGCTTTCATGTACTTTCAGGTTTTTGTTCTTATCCAAATTCCCTTTTTGTTCTTTGCAAATGCTGACTGCTAGTGTTACTACCCCTTCGCCGCCTCTATTATCTCCTGGTATGCTCTTTTTCTATCCTAATTTTCTCGGAATTTTCTTTCATTATTTATACAATTGTGTTTGTTTTATTATAATATTTATCATGGTTTTCACCAGGGACTCAATTGAAGTCGCAAATTAGGCGCAGTGGCTGCTGTGCCGCGGTCAGAATTTGTAGGAGAATTAAGCCAATCGGCCTTGGCTTGCAGTTGGAACCTATTGTTGGAAGAAGTAGAAAACAATCTTTATCTGTTATGTGTGCTGCTGCTGCTTTGGTAAGTTTGTTCGAACAATTTTTACTCGGAGAAAAGTAAATGGTTTCCCTTAGAGTGGTTAACATGGACCAAAGAATGCTATAGACAGAGAATGTTACTTGTCTGTTATCAATATCAAAGTCAAACAGCGTTAAAACTTGAAATAGATGTAGTGAAAGAGATCAACTTGTGTGAACATGTGGTTCTGTGTGTGTTTTGTTTTACACATACTAAAAGTAGACGTTTTAAATGATGAGTTCGACACCTGGTTTCTTTTTGATGCAGAATGCAACTTGCAGTGCATCAGGGCAAACTCAAACCATTACTCGGGAGGCACCAACAATCACCCAAGCTCCTGTCCATGGTAATGACACATCCATTTTCTCTAGTTTACCAAAATTTAGTTAGATGCATCCCTTTTTTGTGTTTATTCTAGTTGACCTTTATCCAACCACCTTAAGTTGAAATGGTGGTTAGGAAGGTTATCGAGTGCTAGGTGGTTTTGTTGGAATAGCTGAAGACATGGTGATGAGCATGTATTACTGCCATACCTTTTTGGACACTTAACCATGCTGTTTTCAATCTTGCACTGTCATATTCCATCTGCTTTGGTAGGACGATTGTTATTTTTTTGGCACATGATAATCCAGACACTGCCTGTTAGCTAGAAGCATCGAACAATGTTCCTTTTTTGGTATTTTTCTTCTATGGTATATAGGTGATAAATACCTACACTTGCAGGATCTGGGGATAGAACCCTGGCCCTGTTTTTTTATTTGAGTACAAATCCATGTAATTTTATGGGAAAATGTGTCATTTAAATGGCTTACTATGGTTTATTGAAATGCAGCAAAGGAGAAGTCACCACAACTGGATGATGGTGATTCTGGATTTCCTCCCCGTGATGATGGTGGTGGTGGAGGTGGGGGAGGCGGTGGTGGCAACTGGTCAGGCGGATTCTTCCTTTTTGGATTTCTTGCATTCCTAAGCTTCTTAAAGGATAACGAAAGTGATGAAGATTACCAGGGGGGCAGTCGAAGAAGATAAGAGTCTCTTGGCAAATTGATAACACCCTTTGGAACCTTATGCATATTGTCTTTCATGCTGTATTCTTTTTAACAATGAATAACGGTAATCGATCTTTCCATTTGGTATTTGTTTTTGAAGATCGCTTTAAAAACAAAATTTGTTTTGTTCAAGTACGCTTGCATGGCGTATTCACAATAGAGCTGTAGGATACCAAAATGACAACTTGAGAATTAAGTCTGTTCTTTCTACTGTAGCCACTTATTTTTGTCTGGGTTAATTAAAACCGATTTGAGTTTTTATTTTTGTACTTCAATCAAGTTTATTAAGCTGTTCGAGCCATGATTAAGTTTGAACGGGCCTATGTGGGTCATTTGGGCTTGAGAGCTTAGAGTATGTCACTTAGAGTGTTAAATGGCCCAATCCAAAAATTTTCTTTCCCTTTCAAATTAAAGATTAATCCATTTCCCATACCCAAGCAGCAACACTCCACTGCCATCACAAAGAAACGATCCTCTGAGAGTCCCGCACTTTCACTGTTTCCTCTATCAAATCCCACAATACCACCACAGCAAACACCTCCACCTCCACCTCCACCTCCACCCCCCCCTCCAAAAAAAAAAAAGAAAACCCTCTGCCGGCAGACCACCTGAATACCATCACAGCAAAACCAAAAAAAAAAAATTTTCTCGTCTCTTTTCGTGGAACAGCAGCAAAAAAAGTTCACAAACATCAAAACTGAGATTTTCGATTTTGGAGGTTCCAAAAAGTTTGACTTTGATTTTTGGTGAGGAGGGAGGTCTCGGCTTGGAGAAGAGGCGGTGGAGTAGTAGATTAATATAAGTTTCATCCTTTCATTGATTCAAATAATCCGAACTCAGTTCGAATAATTTAATATATGTTTTGAAAAGCTTATGAAATTAATTTGAGTGGTTTTCTTTTATATTTAATATTTATATATAAGTAAATAATAAAAATATAATATTTAATATTGATCTTCATAATTTTATCGAATTTAACTGAACTTATCAAATCAAACTTTAATACCTCAACTTAATTAAGTCACGAATTTGAACATGAAAAATAAAATTTAATAAAATTCAAGTCAAATTTTAAGTATTGGATTTTCGAATCAGACTTTGAGTATGGTAATGTATCAATTCAATTACATCCATAGGCGATGCCCCATGAAAGTTTCGTTAAGGAGTCTCCTGCATTTCATTTTATTACATAATATAAATTCGACACAAACAGAAATGCGCTGCTCGTCCCCATTCGTAATTCAGTGGGAGATCTTAATCAGCAATGTTGTTTATCTAGACTCTAGAGTTTCACTGGTCAATGCAAGATCATTCATAAGAAACCTTTGCGAAAACAAACACCAACAAATCTGACCGAAGAGTTGTGAATTCGCTTTCCCTTATAAATTTTAAATATTTTAAATACAATAAAGTGATTAAAAAATAAAAATAATATAATTTAAAATTTTTATAAAAATTTTATATGAATTGGATAAAAAAATATTTACTAAATTGTATATTTCAAGTACGAAAGATGACTCTATAAAATAAAATTTAAAAATGATAAAATTTAAAATTTTAATAAAATTATATTTAAATTTAATAAAAATTTAAAAATATATTTTATATTTAATGTGTATAATTAATTATAACATAATAATTTTTATATTTTATATATATTAAATACATAAATATAAATACATAAAATATCATATCTAAACAATCATGTTTGCCCGTATGTATTTCCAGATTGAGTTGGATTGATTTATTTATACGAAATTAAAAAAAAAAAATAAGTAGCAAAAGTTTTAAATTGACAGAATTTTTAGGCCGTTGTTGAAAATTCCAAAAAAATCCCTTTTAAAACCCCAGGCCTTAGGCCACCCCAGAGATGACAAGAAACAGTGGCCGAATTCTTTCAAGAAAAGGAAACCATATCCATTGAAGCTTTCTCTTCTAATTGGCCAGAACAGCCTGCGGTAGTCTGCTTTCAACTCTAACTCTTCTTCCAAACAAACCCTCCTTTTTAACTAAAAATCTTCAATTAATCAGCGTTTTGGATGGGACAAAAACGAGATTATACTCTTCTTCTTCCAGAATAAGCATGAGCTTAAGAGCCGGCATTGTTGGTCTCCCTAACGTCGGCAAATCAACTCTATTCAATGCCGTTGTAAGTTTTACTTGATTTCGGATTTTGGGTTTTCTTTTTTCTTAGAAAAAAGATGAGGAAATGATTAAATCGAAAATTGAAAATGTAGGTTGAGAATGGGAAAGCACAAGCTGCGAATTTTCCGTTTTGTACAATAGAGCCAAATGTTGGGATTGTTGCGGTTCCGGATCCTCGGCTCCATGTTCTTTCTGAACTCAGCAAGTCTCAAAGAGCTGTCCCTGCTTCTATTGAGTTTGTTGACATTGCTGGTCTCGTTAAGGGTGCCAGTCAAGGAGAGGTAATACTTGCTCTTTTTTTTTTTTTGGTTTTTATTTTTTGCTTTGAAAAGAAAGCAAAAAAGTGTATTTGAATATGAAAGCATAAGTTAAACCTGGCAGAAAGCATTAGGTAAACCTGGCAATTCGTGTATTCATATTACAATTCATGGCTACATGCTGAACATGTTTAAAACATGAAAATTGTTATATCATAATTTGTATTCATATCATAGTTTGTGCCAGCATGTTGAACCCAAAGTACATTTTTTGGTTTTTGCTAAAATTTTAAACCTTGTTGCTTTTGTGCATGTATTTGTATTGTTTTTAATAGTATTGTTTGTTTTTGTTTTTATTTTTTGCTTTTGAATACAAATGCATAGAGTGCATTTGGATATGAAACCAAACACTGCTTTGAATATTATCTACCTTTCGAAATCTGTTGCAATTGGGTCCTTAATTATTTTTTTCTATGTCATTGTTTTCAGGGATTAGGAAATAAATTCTTATCGCATATCCGGGAGGTGGACTCCATTCTTCAGGTTTTTCTCTATCCTTATTCACCACTCACCAGTGTTCTTTTCTGCATATGCTGTACTGATTTCTTTTCTACTGTCTTTAAGTTGGTGATTATGTCATTCAGATACAGTGTTAATAATAGAAAATACAGGATAAACCACTAATGAGTAAAGACACACATATACTAGCCCGACCATCATTTCGCTAACTAAAATAAATGGCTTTCCATTTTACGTGGTCCTTCCAGGGAGTAGTTTAACTAGTGCACGAATACATACTATGCTCTGTGTACATTAGTGCATCACTTACTACATTAATTCTCTCTACGTGATTTATGGTCATCTATAGTATATTTAGTGCATACCTTTTTAACAGTTAGCCGTGTCTGAACGAGTATATCTTTAAGGCTCAGCATGGCTAAAACCTTTAAATGGTCAATTTCCTTCAAATCATCTTAGTTGGAAGGTTAATCTGGTACTGCCTTTTTTGCTAATATTTTTTCTTTCCTTTTGTTAATCATTTTTCACTCAGTATCTTTATGCATGAACACAGAAAATTTTCAAGAAATATGAAGAGTTTTGTGTCTGTTATACCATAAATACTCTCTTTTTCCCCCTGAAATATGTGAGTTCCATCCATTTTTGAATGTTTATGTTTTAGGGGAAAAGCAGACAAAAATGACCTTTTGATCCAAGGGCAAGGGCTCGTGTTAATTGTTGAGTCATTATTCCAGTACTTTAGTTGTTTAAAATTTTGAGAAACTCCCCATATAAGTTTTTTCTTTATCCTTGTACAGAAGACTATGTATTTAAGAATTAAAGAACCCAGCTAAACATCCCCACCCCTAAACAGTTTTCGTTTTTTTTTAATTGAATCTGAAAGTATTCTTTTGGAGACATTATTGAATTTTATGCATATGATTTGCCAATCAAAAGCTTGGTAATATAATTATTTACTTTTAATTTTTGAAATCAAATGCTGATTTCATTATTGTTTCAGGTTGTACGCTGTTTTGAAGATAATGACATTGTTCATGTGAATGGCAAAGTTGATCCTAAGTCTGATATTGATGTTATCAATTTGGAACTAGTTTTCTCAGATTTAGATCAGGTATGCTCAATGGAGTTTAATGCAGCTTCAGCCTCTTTCTTGGAAAAGTAGTGATGCTGATTTAATAGTTGAGAACATATTATCATGAGTGGTGCTAAATGCACCCTATTTTTTCTCTTTAAACCCAAACTTTTCTTAAAAAAAATTTTGTAAGTAAAATTACTTAATTACCCTTCTCACAACTTTCTGAAGCTTTATAATTTTCTCCGAAAATCGGTTTTCGAAAAGTCATAAACCTTTACGAAAATTTGACTTTCCGAAAATTCATTTTCGGAAAAGTTTATAATCTTCCGGAAATCCATTTCCGAAAAGTTATATGACTTTTTGGAAATCCATTTTCAGACAGGTTTATGACTTTCCGGAAATCCATTTCCAGTAACTTGTGTGAAAAAGAAAAAATAATTAAATAATTTCATTTGCAAAAAATTTTGGAAAAAAAAAGCTGGTTGTGAAGAGAAAAGGCTGGGGTGCATTTAACAGCACTCTATTATCATATGAGTGCATCTAAAACATCTTTTACAATGTTAATTCTTTTCATGTTGCTTGTGTGGTGCCTAATTTACATTCATTTTCGGAAAAGTTTATAATCTTCCGGAAATCCATTTCCGAAAAGTTATATGACTTTTTGGAAATCCATTTTCAGACAGGTTTATGACTTTCCGGAAATCCATTTCCAGTAACTTGTGTGAAAAAGAAAAAATAATTAAATAATTTCATTTGCAAAAAATTTTGGAAAAAAAAAGCTGGTTGTGAAGAGAAAAGGCTGGGGTGCATTTAACAGCACTCTATTATCATATGAGTGCATCTAAAACATCTTTTACAATGTTAATTCTTTTCATGTTGCTTGTGTGGTGCCTAATTTACATTTTAAGAAAAATTTTTAAAAGATTTTACTCATTTACTGTACTCTCATACGATTGGACTGGTGTTGATCCAAAGAGATCTTTGATTGCAAAAGTTGTTCCTCTTTTAGTAAATAAAGTTGGACCTATTTTTTCTCATTTCAGTTATTTATTTGAGAATCCTAGTTATATAATGATTGGCAGAACACATTCCTCTGTTTAATGGCCCATTAGTGATGTGAATCAAATTACTGCTTCTTGTGTTTTCAGCAGTGAGAATCTTTATTCAGGCTTTTGTACAATTCACTAACAGTCTTCTAGATTTGGAATGTTATATCATCGTGAGGCAATTTGAACAATTTGGGTTTGAGAAAAAATTAACTGGACTTCCTGTAACTTATTAATTCCCGGACTTTTGTATTAGTTGATTAAATAAAAAAGTGTTCTGAGTGGTTAGCTACTTATATGCTTTGTAGTATCATTTCCATTAAGGGTGCTTCAAAAGTTTATTAAACCAAGGTCTTGTTGGATTTCTACAAATTGTTGGATGTTTTATGCATTCATAAAGGACTAGATCTTTTGGGCATTAAAATCTTAGCTAAGCGTTAAATCTTTTTGGAATCTAAAACTCAAAACTAAAAGTTTCAAATTTCCAAAAGATCTTGTGAGATATTAAAGGTTGGGGAAATTTCAATTCTTGTGTAGATAAAATGCTTGAATTGTTTTAATTCTGTCAAGATAAAAGATTTTCTATAGTTTAAATTTTGTAATGAACTTGAGGTCAGCATAAACTAAACTCTGTGATAGAATATTCATTCTGTTTAGAACTTGTTTGATCTGGATAGTTTGTCACTGTACAGGGGATAGCGTTAAATATAATTTTAAACTGAAGCCAAAAAATGTGTGAAAAGATCTGAAAAAGTTTGTCTGTCCAAGAACTCAGAGTCCAAAATAGTTTAAATCCATTACTAACAAAAGAAGGCTTTGAGCGATCAAATATAAACTAACTTATCATATCCACTAAGTCTCAAATTCTTCTCAAGTACAATTTAAGAGTGTGTTTAAGGCAGCAGGGACTGTTTAAAGAGTTTAGAGTAGTTTGGTTTGGATTTAGTTGCTAACACAAACAAATTGTCATGTTGATGCAGCTGAGAAAAGTTGGGAAATATAAGAATTTCTGACGATGTATGATGGAAATAAAGAGGAAACTTAGGTTAAATGCCAAAGAAATCATCTTGTGCGGGTAAAATTTGATCCTAAATCAAAGATTCAACCTTAAGTTTAGGGTCATATAGAGATGGAAAATATTGTTTGCATCGCATCTTCAAAAGGTACCGAATAATACTATTTATAGATTCTCAGGATAGGAACCTTGGAGATTCCTCTAAAGTGCAAAGGTTGTTTTCTTAGTTAGAAGAATTAAGTTTTGACTCCTTTACCACAATTATTGGGTAAAACACATTTGAGAATTCTAATAGGTGATAAGTTGTAAAATAATTCTAGAATTCTATGTAATTTGAAGTCCATCAGTTTCCACCAGTTAGAAAGAACTCAGGTTTTAACGAGTAAAAACAGATTTATAGAAAATTTGATGCTATTATCCAAGTTTCTTTAGACTCTTAATTTCGTATGAAATCTGTTTCTTGTAGAAGTAAACTTTTTCACAATGAACATAATTGATGGAGCTACTAGCAACATTTAATTAAATTGTACAAAAAGAAAGGAGAAGCTAGTTCTAGTTCCAAATAATTTGGGACTCATTGGAGATTTTGGTTGATATGTAATATTCCTAACCAGAAAGTTGCATACATGTTTTACTTACATTTCATGTTCAATACCTCTAAAGCAGTGGATTGTAGTTAATTAATGGGGGCACTATATGTGAAATCTATTTCTTCCATTCTGGCAGATGCATAATAGCACTCTTTGAACATGTCCAAAGACTGAAAAGGTCCTCTTTCAAAACGGGTATTGACTCCAATTTTTCTAATTGAAATTTGAAATCTGTCATGATACTGCATAGAGCTCCTCGTTGATTGCTTGGTCTAAAGTTTTAGGAGACTGCATTATTTTGTGATACATCATCCTATATCAAATACGAGTGTGATTGTTGGAAGCCACATAGGTCTTCAAGTCATTCTTAACAACTTGGGTTAAGATTTTGAGTTCATGTGGATGTGGTTTAGGGCTGAAAAGATGTTGGGCTAGTGGTGCTTGAGCCCAGCCTCCAAGGATATTGCCATTGGTGTCAAAGCATATGCCTATTCAATGTGGGTTCACATAGTCACAGTGTGTGATATTGGTCCTATGAGAATCAATTCTGACTGTGATATGTGGTTCTGAAATCTGATGAGGCCATCAAGGAGAAGGGCAGGGATGGGTAAGGAATATGATATTAGGAGTATGATTGATGAATCCCACATAAGGGTTTAAGCCACTCACTCTTATCAACTTGAGCTTAATCTTTTGAGTTTGTGCAGTATAAACTTGAAAAGTTGTTTGTCCTATGGTGTTTGGACCAAGATATTACCTTTATAACATGAAATGAAAGCATCTATCTTATACTTATGAAACTCTTAAGAATTAGCATTTTGTTTTGAATAATGTGGATCCAAACCACTAATTTATTTACATATCTTTCGTATATTGCATCCTAAGATATGCATGTACACCTTCCATGTCGGTGTTCTGTTTTTCCAACATCTGTTATGGCATTAAATTCATATCATCTCATATCCTTGTCCATGCTTGTGCTTTTTACCATGCAGATATATTTGTTTACACACATATTTATCTATGGTTTCAAAGTAATAATTCATTGCCCATGTCTTATGTTTTAGTGCATTAACCCTCCAATGAATTTACTTGATTGTTTCTTTCTCAATTAACCTTAACCTTAAATAAATTTGCTTAAATGCTTCTTTCTCAATAACCTTTATGAACTCCTGCATGGCCTTAGTACATTCCTGTGGCAGCCTAAATCAAAATAAGCTTGTGTAATTAATTGCATCTTTTATAAGAAATGCAGATAGAGAAGAGATTGGAGAAGCTTAAAAAGGGGAAGGCGAAGGATTCACAATCTAAACAAAAGGTGAAGTTATTTTTCCTCCTCTGTTTTTACTGTAAGTAGCATCTTGTCATTTGCCTGTCATTCTGTCTATTCTATACTCCAATGTGGTGTATTTTTGTGTTAGCATTGACTTTCTTAAAGTTATATTATTTTAGGAGGAAGCAGAAAAGTCTGCCTTGGAAAGGATTCGGCAGGCACTTATGGATGGAAAACCAGCACGATCAGTTGCATTAACTGACTTTGAGAAGGATGCTGTGAAACATCTTTGCTTGCTGACAATGAAACCAATCATTTATGTGGCCAATGTCACAGAATCTGATCTCGCTGAGCCTGGAAATAATCCCCATGTTACTGAAGTGATGAATCTTGCATCTGAGTTGCAATCTGGAATTGTAACAATTTCTGCACAGGTTTGGTGATACTCTTGAAAAGCATATTCTAATGACAAGTAATTTTAGAGCTTTGCAATCTTCCTGTCTCTCTCTAATGTGCTCAAGCCTGTTGGCAGACATTGATGCACTGTCATCTTTTATAAAAACAAGAAAATTTATCTGTTCATTTAAACCTGTTGCTGATGGATGTTGTATTAGCTATTATATTATGCAGAGGAACTAAGGAAGCTTAACATTGCAGGTTGAGTCAGAGCTCACTGAACTTCCATCAGAAGAACGAACAGAATATTTGAAATCTCTTGGTGTCAATGAAAGTGGGCTTGGGAACCTTATTAGAGAAACATATAGCCTTCTAGGGCTGCGTACATACTTTACATCTGGGGAGAAGGTGAAAAGACATTCTTTTTTTTTTTTGGATAAATAGGTGAAAAGACATTCTCACAATTACTTTAATCGTTTTTTTTTTTTAATTTGGTTTCATAGCATGGAAGATGGATTTCATGTCTGCTTGAATTTTATTTGTTCTATTAGTTGAAAGTGTTCTTAATGCTGCAGGAATCAAAAGCATGGACAATACTTGCAGGTTAGTTTTGGCTGTTCTGGTGTCCAAACTCTAATCTGTACTATATGCAGATATTCTTATCATCGTTATCTAATTTGTTTTTTCTTGATCAGGGATGACTGCTCCTCAAGCTGCTGGAGTTATTCACTCCGACTTTGAGAAAGGCTTTATTCGTGCTGAGACAGTAAGCACCATCATTAATTTTGTGGATTCCATCCCATACATTTTCAGATTTTTTTCCTCCCATCCCATCAGCTCGATGGCTGGATGGAAGCAATTGTTTCTGTTTTTGCTATTTGTTGCTTTCTGTCTTTTGTTCTTGAAAATACTGCTTACAAGCCTGGCCTTGGCTCTGCAATCAGCTACTTTCCCTGCTGTCATCAGCAAACCATATAGGGCATTCTTTTATTGATAAACATGGAATTGATTGGACATTGGGCTAAATAAGAAGGAATAATGTTATAGGGTCATCTGCTTTAGTCAAATTGCATGATGGTTTGGTATATGGAAAATAAGAAAAATGAAAAGATTGCTTACTTATTGGAGACATGATTCTTTAATCAGAACATGAGCATCTTTTACCTTTTTGAACATCTGCTTGTGTCAAAGTTGTATGATGGTTCAATATATGAATTCACATGCATCTCTAAGAGAGATTATTTATGTGGAATCATTGATCATGAGTATGAAATATATTTCATCACCACCTCTTCATAAAAAAATGTCTTGTTCTTAATAGGTATCTTATGATGATTTTGTTGCCACCGGTTCACTAGCAGCAGCAAGGGAAAAGGGACTTGTAAGTTGTTTCATTGCTATTAGCCTATATAAGTTTTTTTAGGTAATAAATTTCTTGAATGGTATATGCTCGATACCTTGCATGAGTTTCACTTATGCAATGAAGAAAGGAAGACTGCTTTGCATTTATTTATTTTCCCTCAGAACGGTGGAACTCTTCCTAAGTTCCTATTGCCCCGTCCAGCAAAACCTACTTCAAATTTTGGTTTTGGGTGAAATAGACATTAACCTTGACTCTGAGGGGAGAGTGGAGATATCATCTGCAATTCTCCATATCTGTCATGGCTCTATTAGTTTTCTGTTGAGTAATATGCTTGTATTTTTCTAGGTTACAAAACTTAGGTCGTACAAGCTAAGGCCGCCTTTGCATCTAGTCTCAAAGAATGGTTGCCCAGCTGCAATCAGTAGGCTGCTACACTCCACCTTTAATTACTCCCTCTCTGCTCTTTACTTGTCTCAAACCCTAAACCCTAAACCTTTGTAGGCCCAAAGACTGTCAGCTTTATTTTCATATTTTCCCTTATTTCCTTCTGTTTTGTACATATTTCAGCTGTCTCTCTTACAATATTTATTTCAGCTATATTATTTTCTCTCTCTTTCTTATTTAACTTTCTGCAGCTGAGATCTGAGGGTAAAGACTACATAGTGCAAGAAGGAGATGTAATGCTGTTTCGTTTCAACATTTGATGATTGTACTTTTGAAGCCGAAGGCATTTCATCATTCCTTTACCTATCAAACACTGAAAAAGAAATGTATACCTCATTGGTTTTGTATTTTCAGTGGTCTAAGATCATGTCGAACGTCAGGCAAATGGTACAGGATGAAATTCTTCTTTTACCATTTCTGAACCAAGAGATATATTCAGAGATTGATCTGCCCATGAAATTGTCCATTTGTAATTCAAAAAGTAAACAAACGAAATCCCCCCATTTTTCATCTCATGGTTGTAACTATATTGTCAACAATAACGTAGTTTGTTGGTAGAGTGTTGAACTCTTAGTTTCAGTTCGAGTGACAAGGGATCAATTCCTAGCAACCTCAAGTTCCAAAAAAAAAGAGGTTGTAACTATATTCATCTGTGAATATATAACCCTATATGTTGGGGCATCATTACTTTACTTATCTTGCCCTAAGAGTGAAAATTTAGAGAAATAATTTCTGCTACTTTGTAGAGGTTTTCAATGGTATTTGAAAGTTTTTCTTTGTTGCATTGAAAACATATTTGCAGATCTGACCAAATAATGCCTAACGGCCTAAGGATCCGGATGGCAGCTGAACTTCATGTCAGTTTATTTTCTTTATCTTTCATCTTCCCCAATTTGGCTCAAGGAAACAAAAGGTAATGAAAATGACTTTATGCATTTATTTTCCCCAAAATTGTCTCCGAGTTTCGGAATTTGGGTCAAGAAGCACCAATGCAAGAGAATACTTACTATCATTCTTGAATTAAATCAATGGAGTGGTAAAACAGATCAGATGTCCTTGTCTGCAACTGATATGGTCCTAAGGCTAAGGGCAAAGTCTTATCGTTGGCTTTGTTTTAAAACATTGATAGATGTATTAGATCAATGCTTTTGTTTCTAAGCAAGAGAAAGCGAGAATTCCTAGTTTTTTTTTTTAGTACGGAAGAGATCACAACTTAAAATAAAAAAAAATATAAGTATTAAGATTTGAATTTTAAATTTATTAGACGTCGTTTTTTAAAAATGAATATATGAACCGATTGAGCTAAACTCAATGTTTGAATTTCTAGTTTCATCGTGAGGTTAAGGTGGGAGTTCCTATCCCTACATCTTAGATCATGGCCATATTACTAGTTGGTTTTTTCATGTTTATTTGAGAAAATATGATATTTTGTTGTCTGTGAAACATCAATTGCTTTCCGAAATTTCCTTGTCGAGAAAGTGATTTAGTAGTTGCATGGTTCTCTGCCCCTGTCCATGTCTTGAATCATTCCAAGTTGCACGTTCAATGCTTGTTTTAGCTTCAAGTTGGTATTTTCAAATAAAAATGATCCAAGAGATAGATGATTGAATTCTTATCATGCAATGCAATTTCATTAAGTCAACATTGGGAAACAATTCTATGTTAGGAATACAAGGAAACGATATGTGATTAGTTCCAGGTACCTTAACCATCCTTTGTTGAAAGCATTTGATGGAGACTTCGAAACAGAAGCATGCAGGGGAAGACATATTCGTGAAATGCGAGGTAGCTTTGTTTGATTATCTTTTATGGATACTCGAGAATTCTGATCCATATCTTTTATGGATACTCGAGAATTCTGATCCATAGCTTTGTTTGATTATCTTTTATGGAATTGGCTGACCTCTAAGTGTTTTGATCTATGACCAGCTTAACTCAGTTCAGGCTTATAATATATATATATATATATATTTTGTTACAAAGAATATTCTAGTTTGAAGATAAAGAAAAAGGGATTGCGATACTAAGATTTGAATCTTTAATCTTTTGGATACAATCTCTTAAGAATGATCGCATTAATTAATTGAACGAAGTATCGGGCAGATGACTAATGGATTAACATTTATAACCCCATCCCCAAAAGAAGAGCTTATTGGTTTATTAAATTTAAAGCACAAAATGACTCTATGTAGTCAGTAACAAATCTATCAAAGAGCAATGAAAAAGAGAATGTAGGGGAAGCCATACTCAAAACCTAGCATGCAGAGGTTTGGTCTAACAGAAGTACATAGCATTGTCATTTTTATGGAATATAACAACAGCTTCAATAAAATTACCACACAGTTGCAAGAGTTGATAAACGGTTGGACTGTCAAGACAGCCATTTCCAACCCAAGTAGCGGTGCCATTCCACAACAACTCCATTACTAAATTGGTTAAAGCATAGTCTGCAGGAAATTCAATATTACACCAGTCTCTGCCAGGAAGAGTCACTTTTATACTACCATAGAACCGCCCAGAAGACCACATAATTCAGCAAAATTAAAGAGAAATGTCGGATCACAGCTTCCTCATGAGAAGAAATAGTCTCTGGTCAAGTTCAAAGTGGGCGACATGAGAAGCTTCTCCCCTGAGCAGCATCAAAAGCCCACCATATGAAACATAGATCTCCCTGAAAACAAGAACAGACATTTAATTCTAAGATCAAGTAAAAAGACTCTTACAGGCCAAAGAGATCAGATCAAGTCGCACAGTGAAATAGCAACTAGTAAATTAATCCAATGAATATCAAGTCAGAGTAACTGTACCACCCAAGCAGCAATAAATGGTGGAATAAACAAAAAGATCCTTTTGGGACACAAAAAGTAATGGCCAAGTATGGTTAAGAAACATACGCTTTAAGTCCTTTCCCCGAAGCATCATCTGATATCTTGTATAGCTTCCCATGCATGACATACTCATACTTATCTGCAAGAGACTTCCTCCCCTGGAATACAGGTTCAATTTGTCAGGCATATGGCAACAAATTATTGCATATCTTTAAGATATAGGTGCCTTTATATATATACACTCACTCGTACATACAGATAAATAGATAAAATATCAAGGTGTTTACATGCGAGCACACATCCTTATGTTTGGACTCCATAACTAAGACACCTCAAAGTCCTAATTTGAATACTTCCTTTTTTAGACTTCAATTGGATGTTGTACAGGTGTGGGGTTTGGTTGAGAAAGAAACAAATATTTATTTTCCCCAAGTTGAAGGAGAGTGGCTGATCTTTTGCTTCATCAAAAGGTGATAAAATCAAGTAACAGAATTAAAGCAAAGGAAAACCATTAAAATCAATCAGAGGACTTCATTTCAAATACATTATAGGAAAATAAAGTGCATAGGTAATAAATTTCAATTTTCAGAACATCCAGCCAAAAATAGTAGTCACCAAGAAAAATGATCAATATAAACCCAAAATTGAAACTTCAAATTGGCGCTCTTTGCTCAATATTTCTTTCCATAAAGAAACAAAATGTCCACCCATGTAGTTGAAGTAGTCTCAGAGTCTCAGACCACTGTTAAGCAAAGGGGTTCACTTTTAGGTTCCCAACATAATAGTAAATAGTTGTAAATTACTTAACTATTATGTTAGGGCTACAAATGTCTTTGTAAGATATAAGACTTATATACAACTCGTATATCTTACTAAGACATTTGTACCCCAAATATAATAGTTAAATAATTTAAAAATATTTACTCTTACATGCACAAATGAAAAAAACTTAAAGTAATAAAATCATGGTTACCAGCAAGACTGTTTTAATGAAGTTGACAAGCTGTTCCATATTCAAAATGATAACAAATTCTCTCTTTCTCTCTCTTTCTCTCTCTCACACTGAGGGGTTTCATTGAGATATTCAACAAATAATAGAAAACAAGAATAATTATTTGTGCTTGTACATGTGAAGAGGACAAGGTTACAGGCAAGCCTTGTAATGAATGAAGAATTTCTTAGACAAAGAAAACCGGCCTTTGCAAATGTTGCTGCTTGAGGAAGACCAATGGGAAACTAGATATCTTGCACCTCTTTTGAGAGAAGAAGAAGAAGAAGAAAGAAAGGGACTTGAGAGGACAAAATTTTGAAATTATAATATGATACATTGATCCATATAGCTGACTCTACTTAGTAAAAAACCCTTAACTTGTTATTTTTATCATATGACATGTTGAAAATGTATAGCTTACATGGCAGATTTGCTGGAATTTTGACCCCTATTTTAACTTGAAAATAACAAGATTCGATAGCTAACTAATCAAACTATAATTAATTGACTGTTACAATTGGAACTCTATGGACATTTTAGTTATAGTCCTTATGGAGACCAAACTTCAAGGGCAACATTTTATTAACCCCACAAATTATGACCATAAAATGCTTACAGAAACTGCTGCAAACCCATCTTGCAATGAACAATAATAATCAGTTTAATGTAGCCACTTGGTGTAGAACCAGGTGTTGGGAGGGCAGGGGTTTGGGTAGAAATCTTAATTTCAAATTGTAGTGCTCTCTTCTAACACCCTTTGGAAAAATAAAGATGTTTTACTTTCCAGCACCAATTACTAGGCTCTGAAAAGACACACACACACACACACACAATTTATGCTCATTTTTTCTAATTTACTTCAACTGTGATAATATTATATGAGAAGGGCAACTAGACTAGAAACAAAATACAAAATACTAGAAAACATAAACTTGTTAAGTAAAATATAGGATTTTGATTTGTGCTAGTAACACACATTCTGAATAGCTTTAACGAATGAAAAAAATGATAAAAAATTGCAATTACGAATCATCTAGACAATTAGGACATAAAACATGCACTAGAACCAAATTGAAACAGAAGCATAGTTCATGTTTGTAATCATATATGAGGAGTTAAAGCAAGCAATGAATGCCACAATCAAACTCAAGACTTGGAGATCATAGTCGAAGTTATCGGCATGCACCTGTCATTTCTAACAAGATTTTTTTTTTTTTTTGCAGCAAAGAAATTAGCAAAGAGTGTTAAACATTAAACTACAACAGTAAGAAGACTACCGGAGTGTAAAAGCCCGTGTCAGGTGTTCCATCCAAATTCAATGTATGAGCCAACGCCATTGTGAATTTGTCACCAACATGCATAGGATATATCTCTGTATTCACATCTAGGTGCATGAACATGTCACAATTCTGGCTCCGTGCTTCAATACGAGTAACTGCATGAATATACCAAAATATAAATGAGAAAATCTAATAAAACACTTTACCAAAGCAAGTTAAAACTTGATTGATATTATTTATTCCTTTAGCCAAGATCATTGTACACATATTTTGTGCAAAAGAACTGCTGCAATATAACTACTTTATATCTACCATTGGTAAACATTCAAGCAAATATGTACTTCTAATCCTACATAGGAGAGAGTTAGAACTAAATTCCAGGATTTCTCAATCAACATGGGGTTACCAGAAAATCATCCAAATTCCATAGCCAAAACTTAAACAAATAAAAATTATATATATACCATGCTTAAAAATTACGTTTCACTATCAAGGTACATATACATGTAATTAAAATTACAGAGCAATGAAAGAAACACAGAAAAAAATAAATACCCAAAGTGAGTAAATTAGAGAAAGAATAATAAAAGCTAAGCTAAGGAAAGATTGAAGATTTGACCTTTATCAAACTTTTTACCATCTGGGTCAAGCTTGTCAACCACAAAAATATCCTCAAAAAGTATGATGCTTGACATCTTCTGCAAATTTTACCCTCACCACCAAACTATCACAAAGGAGGTTAGCAAAGAGAGTGGCTTCGAAAGAGAAGGGAACCCAAGGGTAAATTCAGCTGGGTTTGGGAAGAGCCGAGCTGCAATAAATCACTTGGGCTGGGCCACAGATATTTTAGAGATGTTTGCCCATTTCATGGGATTTGGTTTTAATTTTTGGGTGATAAATAGCCACTCAATTTTTAAGGATATTTTTAATCACTCAAGTTTAAATAAGTGTTTCTTTGTTGCTCGGCCATTAGTGATTAATCGCATCATGTGATATTATTGGCATGATGTTATAAATTTTTAAAAAATAAATAAATTTTATGTACTTAATTTTTTAAAAGTTTTTTATATTGAGTACTCAACTTTAAAAATTTATAATTTTGTCATTAACAAATAAATTCTCAAATTTTATAAAAAATATATTTGATATTATTACATAAAATTAAATTATAATTTTTTTTATTTTATTATAATTATACTATTTAAATTTGAAAAATAAAATAATATTACCCACTTCTAAAAATTATTAAAATAATGTTATTTTAAATCTTTGTCATTCAACTCATTAAAATAAATTCAAATAAATACTTCATATCTTCTAATGTGAAGATTTAGTTTTAATTTCATGGAATAAAATATTAAAAAATAAAGAAAACAAAATAAAATAAAATTATTTATTATATTAAATTTCATAAACCCTTGGTGATTAAATACTTTTAATGTTACGTTGAGTTTAATATCCAAATATTAATAATTTCACAAATATTACCAAAAAATAAAAATTTAAAATAGTTACTTGAATTTATTTGAATTAATTGAACGATAAATATTTGAAGTAATAATATTTTAATAATTTTGACAATTGATTATATTTTTTTATTTTTCAAATTTAAATGATATAATTATAATTAAATAAAGGTTCATAGTTTAATTTCATACAATAAAAATATTGAATTTTTATTTTTATTCTTTTAAAAAATTCAATGATTTATTTGAGTGTTATCCTAATATATTTTAATAGGCAACATAAATAATAAAATAATTTATTATATTAAATTTCATAAACATTGATAATCAACTTATTATAAATTTATGGTGATAATGAGCTATTAACAATGAAAATCAAAATATTAATAAATTTTATATTTCATAATGTCAATGTTCTAATTATAATAAATTTATGTTATCTATATTTCTATTAATATTTTATTACATGCAATTAAAATTATAAATTTTTATTATAATTAGAATCTTTATATTATAAAATATGAAATACTTGAATTTATTTCGATTAACTAAGTCACAAAGACTTAAGGTAATATTATTTAATTAATTTTGGTAATTGCATAATATTCATTCATTTTTCAAATTTAAATGATATAATTACAATTAAATAAAAAAAATTTATAATTTAATTTTACATAATAAAAATATAAAATGATTATTTCTATTTTTTTATAAAAATTAAGAACTTATTTTTTAGTGACCTAATTGTTAGTTTTTAAAGTTGAATGACTAAAATAAAATCTTTTAAAAAGTTAAATACCTTAATTTATTTATTTTTTTCAAAACTTATAATACGACAATGCCAGGTGATTTGTCAGATGACATAATAGTGTCATGTGGTATCTAACATTTGACGTGATAATATTACGTTAGTACACCATTTAATACTAACAATCAAATGATAAAAAAACAATTACTCAAATTTAAGTGACTAAATTTAAAAAAATAATAGTTAAATGATCATTTTGAAAAGGTCACTAAAATTTAAAAAACATTAATTTTAAAAATACTTACTCAAACTTAAGTAACTAAATTTAAAAAATAATAGTTAAGTGATCATTTTAAAAAAATCACTAAAATTAAGTGATTATTTATATATTTATCTAATTTTTTTAATAAATATTTCAAAATTAGATTCGATCATTGATGGATATATATTTATCTATTTTGTATCAAATATATATAAAATATAAAAATTTTTATATCATAATTTTTGTCGATTATAGATGCTCACTCATGAGACTAATTTTTAAAGTTACCTTTTAAAGTCATTAAAAAATTTTATCTTGTTCATACCTTAAAAACAAAAAATATAATCAATAAACTTCTTTTTTTTTTTTTTCATTTCAAGGCTTGGCTATCTTAAGATGCGTGAAACATCCCATATAGATCATTCTTGAAGAACTGTCTGATAAGTGCAAACAAACTATTGGTAAAACTCTACTTGTGTGTGTGGGGGAGAGATCCTCACAGTTGCCGTCCAAAAGCCCCTTAGCTCTAGCTGTGGTTGAGAATAGGGAGACAGAGAGAAGGGGGATGCTAGATAGATAGAGAGGGAGAAGCAGGGGGTGGGGAGGTAGGGAAGGGGAATGGACAGAGTAATTCACAGAGTTTGAGAGAAGATAGGATTAAAGGTATACTTTTAGTTTTCCTTTTTGTATTTCATCGCATTATTATTTTATTTTTTCCAAAGTAATTCTCACTAGCTAGGTTGTTTCTTCATTTGCACGATTGTAAGGATGATAACGATTTATATCGGATTAAATTCGATTTGATTTTGAGGATATTATAAAATATTATAAAACTAGCTTTTTTACTCGTGACATGCAAGAAATTTTTTATTATATTTTTTATAATTTAAAATTTTAATTTATATTAATTTTATATTATATAGATAAAAAAATATTCATAATTATTTATAATTTGTTATGTAAAATTACAAAAATCATATATATATAAATTATTATGAATGAATCCAAATAAACATTATGAAAGTTTTGAATTATGAAAATAAAATTATATACAAACCTCAATAAAAAAATTAATCTTTAGTTCACAATTACATACACTTTTAAAAATATATATTATTTTAGTATAAAAACTAAGATTTACAAATGTGATATATCATAAAAGATTTTTTTTCATATTTGATTTTGAAACTTTATAATGTTAAACTTTTATGACAAATATCTGATTACTTTATCTTTTATAAAGAAGAAAATATTGATTGTAAGAAAAAAATCATAAATATATATCTGATAATTATTTAATGTAAAAAATGTAATCTATTCAAGTTAATTTTAAAATTAGGATAAAGAATTTAGTATAATTTAAATGATAGAATTATACTGTAATTTTAAATTGAAATAAAATACATTTTTTTTATATTTTAAATCATAAAAAATAAAGACAAAAAGAATTAGTAAATAACAGTGATTCAATCACAAATTTTATCTATTTAAATTGATGTGAATATTGATTTAGATGGTGTGTGATTTTTTATAATTACTAAGATTTAGGGATTTAACTTTTAAAATTTTTTTGAAATTTGTATTTCATATAAATGAGTAACAGTAAGATATGAGATATGTTTTTTCAAGTTTAAATTAAAATAAAATTTATAAATTTTGAAAGATTTGATTAATTTTATTTAAGATTTTAAAAATTATAATTGATTGATAATTATTTGCATATTATAAATATTGTACCTAAACATACAAAGCAAATTTAATCAATTTAGTTATTTAATTTATATATGATTTTAAAATATGATCTTAATTGATCTTTCATGTGATCCATTTGAACCGAACTAAATTTCATCAATTTCATTTATTAATTTTATCAATTTAAATTTTTTATATATTATTTTAATATGAAAATTTAATATATTTAAATAAATTTTTATATAAAATTATTATTTTTATTATATAAAAATTTTAAAAAATATAAAACTAATAAAAATATATAATTTAATTTGATTAAATTTTTTCAATTTTTTAATTTTTTCAAACTGAATTAATTCCGTATCTAATATATGACTTTAATTTACAAATTTCATCCGGACCAAATAAAAAAAAATCGATCTAAACATTATAATTTCAAATCAAATTTTGATTTTCTTGATTTTGTTCTCACTCTTAATAGATTGAATTCAAGCAGAAATGTGATGTGATAGTTCAACAAAATCTAATGCCCAATCTTTGTTTTGGACATTATAACCTTATATTGAAATAGAGGAAAATGAGTTGTCTAGTCTGTACTAACTGGTTTTTGGTGAAGAATTAGTTGAGGTTGGGTTGTATGGTAATGAGGGTCATTTCATTCTTTATTTTTTCCACAGCATCATATTATTTAATGATACTTGATTCTGTCTAAACTTGCTTTGTATAACTGGAGTTTGAACTTGTATTTTATATTTGACTCACATGTTGGTTTATATATCTAGATGTTATGTTATTGTCTTCATCATTAGTCGACTAAAGGGAGCCATCTTAAGGAAAATTTTAGCGAATAAATATGTATATGTTGATTGGCTATTTTACATTCGTTTTTGTTCTTTTCTTGTTTACTGGATTTTTTTTCCTTCAATTTTAATTCTCCAGTGGCCTCTCATTTTCTTTTATTAGTAGGTATTTTTTTTATTTCATATAAATTTTCATGTACACCATTACTATTTTTTTGTTCTTAGGTAGCAAACCAATAAACTTATGGAACTCTAGGTAAGGGTATAAGTGAATAGAGCTTTTGATGAATCGTATGTGAATATTTCAAAATTTATTTATTTATGTTCATTTATTAAATTTAACAAATGATTTTGAGCATTATTTGTGTATTTGTTTATTAAACGAATTAAATACGAACAATTGTTTATTCGTTCATTTATATTCATGAATAAATTTGCTTACGTTTCGTTTAAAATTCGATTGTTTATTATTCGTTTGTTGTTTGTTTATAATAATACTAATAAAATTATATTTTTATCTTTTACTCTAATCTTATTTTAAGGTTTGTTTATGTTTATTTGGGTTTGTTTAAGATATATTTGTTTAAATTTGTTTAGTTATGATTTGTTTATTATTCATGAATATGTTCATTTATATATATTCATGAATATATTCATTTAATATTCATAAATAAATTTATTTAACTTAATTGAATGAACATGAATTGAATATAAATAACTTATTATTTAAATGAATAAACATAAATAAATAAAATAATTTTTTTAATGAATACGAACTAAAAATAAATAAAAAAAATAAATATTTATTTATTTATTCATATTCAATTTATTTATAATACAAACTCTAAGGGTTATTGGGAACAGTCAAAACGGCAGCCGACATGTCGGGTTTCTCGCAAATCGTCGTGTTGCAGTTGACTTAGATTACCTAAATAAAAAAAAATTGTTTCATCCTTAGCCTCCAACACTTAGTCTTGGTGTATATCTTGGTGCAGCGGAAAGAGCTACTTCATTCATCACAGATGATCTTTGGTACAGCATTTTTGTTGGAACAAACCCAGGTGAGAATTCTTTAACAACTAAGATTTCACTAATTCAGTTTTTGATAGCTTATGTTACGACATGAAAATACAACTGAACTATTTAAAATTATCTTAGTGAAGCTTTAAGAATCATGCCATTCCTGGGTACCCTCTAGATATGTCTGTGAACCAACCAATGGAATTGGTTCATTTGCCAATGTTTGCATAAGGTTTAATTAGGCCACAAGTACACCGTTTTAAGGGTTGGCAGGCAAAAATGTTCTGTGCTTTGCTTTCTTCATGTTCCATTATTTTTGTCTTTGATTTTAAAGTAACATGGATTTCTTTTGACCTTGCTTTTAGTTGAACTGACTTGACTTGTTTATCTCAACATCTTATGTCTTTTGTATCTTGTTAGTGCTACGCATTATGTAGAATATGACATGTAGTTATGGCTTGATTGGACCATTTTTACTTGGATCTGAACATGATTTCTTTTGTTCACTCATTGAACTAGTTAGATAGATGAGGAGGTCCCCCTTTTACTTGGATAGTGTATATGCTGGATGATACATCGGTTGCTCCTGTTCCCAGTAAGACATCAATGGTTAAAACTTGAAACTTTCAACTTAAGGTCTCATGTTTGAACTAGGGGAGTGGAGGTTAGGGCTATCATTACACAATCGGGTTGGAAACCAGCATCGAATCTGCTTTTTATTTATACAAACTAACTACGAGACTTCAAAACATGTTCATCATACCTTCATTTCTTTTTATTTATAGTGGCAGTGCAAGAGCAAAGAGTTGCCTCAATCGCAGTTATTGCCTTTATTTTTGGGGATTCTTAACCACTGTATGGAGTTCTTCTAAAGGATAAAAGTGAAAACAAATTTGAGAGGGTATCGATGCTGATCCTAATGTAGAGCATCAGTTTATTCCAAGCTTTCATTGGACGATCTTCCTTGTATAAAAACTTCTCAGACAAGGTTGTTTCTCAAAATCTTGCTTCATAAAGGAATGGCTGCGATGAAGATCTGTGTTTCATTGCATTTGGGTGACGATGAAGCCAAATGAAGAAGCTTCAACCAGCACTGAAGAACCAAGGTGAAAACCATATTTGGGGCTTGAGCTGGGGAAACTAAACATTCTTGTAGTTGGATGGTGCCAATGTCACAGCTAAGAATCAAGCTCTAAATTTCTGTTGTTGACACAGGTTGACACACGATCCACTCGGGCTTGAATCGTGCTCATGACATTATAGCATTGTAGCATTGTGACCCATGATTACTTTCATTGTTCTACTTGCTATTGCAGCTTTAATCAAGTGAGCAAAGGCTGCAAAGCAAGCGAATTGTACTTGTTAACTCAACTAAGTTGAGTTAACCAGCAGAATTTTTTTCCGTACGTGGAAAATCATTTTTTTTTTGCTATTATTCTTTTAATTTTGTTGATTTTTTAAAAATAAAATTATAAAATTAATAAAAATTTATTATTTTTATTAACAAAATATTTGATGAAATAATTTAATTACGTTATTTTTTATGAAAAGATCAACGGAATATAAAGTGCAATAACAAAATTTATCATTTATATTAACTTGATATTTTGTGAAATATTTTAATTTTGTTATTTTTTATTCAAAATCAATAAAATTAAAAATATAATAATAAAATTCAATAAATAGAAATAAAATTAAAAATTTCAATATTGAATCATAGTATGTATATAAGTTTTCACCTTAATTATTTTTATTATTATTAAATAAACACCTAGAAACCATATAAACTGGCTTGTGTATTAAAAAATTCCAAATAATAATTCTAAAAATTTTGAGATTAGAAAAAATTATTTACTACTTAATTTAGTATATATTAAATTAAAATGTCTCATGAATTGTATATATAAAGGAAAAATATTTCAAGGGCAAAAATAACATGAAGGGCACATATGAATGTTGTGTTGGAATAAAAGTTGGGGAATAATGAAATATTTTTTAAATATGATAATTTGTATATTTATATTATGTTAATTTTGTATTAAATATATATAAAAATTAAAAAAATATTATATCAAATTTATATAATACTTCAAATATTATATATTTTTTATTTTTATTAAATTTTTATTTTTTTTATCAAAATTTTAATATGTAGTATTTTTATAATTTTTTCGTAAATTTAAAATTATATAATCTTATTTTTTTAATACGGTAAAAAAAATGGAAAATGCGATAATGCCAAAAGTAATTTAAAAAAAAAGAGTTTTTGTTTTTAGGTACAAATAAATCGCGTCCTCACGCCACTCTCATCAATGCCCCCTAGGGTTTATCTAGGGTTTCGAGTTTCGACTGTTCTGTTCTCTTTGTTCCCACAATGGCAAAGCCGACTAAAGGCCGTCGCTCACCCTCCATCTCCGGCTCCGGTTCCTCTTCCCGTTCTCGGTCACGGTCCAGGTCTCCTTCGCGGTCCCGCTCTTACTCCGGCTCCGACTCCAAGTCCAACTCTCGCTCTCGGTCTGTGTCTAGATCTGCTTCTCCATCTAGCTCTCATTCTCGGTCCAGATCCTTCTCCTCTTCCTCTCCTTCTCGCAGCGCTAGCTCTCGAAGTCGCGGCCCTCCTTCTAAGCGTCGAAGGTCACTTCTTTTTTCGCTCTTCAGATTTTTGATTCCCTAGAAATTGTTCATTAAGGATTTAATAATTTGAAGTTTTGAAAATTTAAATGAAAAAAATTGCATTTTGTTAATGGCAAAAGGAAACGATAGAGTTCAATTCTAAACTGATAAGGTACTATTTGGTTGTTACTTTTACTGGTATGAATATAAAAAAAAAGTTGGAGAATAAAAAAGCAGTGTTTTTTCTTTATATGGAACAATTATGTTAGAATTGTGTTGCATTTTAGTTTTTTGTGCATTTTCATTCAATTATAACTTTGGTTTCTATTGTTTTCATCTGATCTTTTTTACAAATTCTTAGGAAGCAAGAATAAATAGAAATAAGTAGTATAGTAACAACCAAAAATAGCCTTTTTTTGGAATCTTAGGGATATCAATTTTTGGTTCATGTGTTGATTGTATTGAAGTTAGTACAATTTATTGTTGCTAATATCCGAAAGGAATGATTTACCTAAAAAGGTACTTAGTAACTTGGCTCCTCAGATTCTAGTTCGTCCAACTCACCTTATGCAATAATTTATCTTTATCGAGTTATGGTTGCTTGAAACAGTAGGAGGTGTAAATTCTGGCATTTTCTTGGCCACTAATTGAGTTGGAATCTAATATATGTGTATGATGTACCAGAGTTAGATCAAAATTATAAGTGCAGAGGTGGCATTGCTGTCCATTTAATGAATTAAAACTTAGATTGTGGGATTCAAATGCCTTCTGCTATTGGGACTGCCATCCTGTTTATTGATATCGGTGTCTCAAGTATAAGATATTATAACTGTCCCTCCACTTTTTTTTTTTTTTTTTTGGTTGCATATGGTTACTAGCCTTTTGAAAGTTTGAAAGTTTAATATTTGTATCTGAGTTTTCTTTTCTTTCTTGACATAGCCCTCCTGATGCACCTAGGAGAGGTTGTTCCCCTCCACCACAATCTAAAAAAGCATCTCCAGCTCCAAGGTAAAGCAGTGTTCAGTTCACATTTACCAGTATTGTCAGTTTAAATTTCTGCAGAACCTTATACTTTATTCTTTATGTATTGCATGTATTCTATATTATTAACATGTAGGGAATGGATTTTTTAAAGGTTTTATAATACATGATTTAGCATATGACAGAATAGACAAAAAAGAAACTTGTTTTTAATCTGGTTTAAGTTAGTGGATCTGGGTTTCTAGTGGAATAGAGAATCAATAATTCTTTTAGGAAGAAGTTTTTATTATGGTTATTCATATAGGATAACTGTTATTTAAATTGTAGTTAGTTTCTGGGGTAGAAAGAATCAGCAATTCTATTAGGAAGAATTTTTAATTTTAGCTATTCTTACAGGATAACTGTTATTTAAATTTTAGTTAGTTTCTTAGGGAACAAAGGATAGGCTTTTTTTTTTTTTTTTTTTTTTTCTAGTTTTGAGGATGGGGAATTTTTCATTTCTTCCTATTTTCTTCATTCGTGAGCAAATTCTGCGAGAGAAACTTTGACTTGGTTGGATGTCTTATATACTATATATGCAAACATACATTATGTTTAATTTGATAATATGGGTAGGAGTTTAACAGTATGATTATATTTCCAGGCTAGGAGAAAAAATGAAAGAAAAATACAATAATTGGAAAGGATTGAAGTTTATGTTCAAGTACTTATATTGTTCTTGGCATTGATTTCAGGAAATCTTCTCCCATCTGCGAGTCTTTAGTTCTTTATGTTGACTCACTGAGCCGGAATGTCAATGAAGGCCATCTAAGAGAAATATTTAGTAAGTGCTTTACCTTTTAACCTTTGAGTAGTAAAAACGCTTGAGAATAATTGATACTTCTTGAGACTTTCAACAACCTAGTGTTTAACGCTTTTATTGAAAGATTCATGTGTTATATACTTTGTGACATGATACTGACTATTATCAGTGAACTCTTAATTAACCGAAAAAACCTGGTTGATGTATGAGGACATCATCAGT